TCAGTCAGATTGGTTCACCTCCCACCTTGAGGCTCCCCAGGACTTCAAGTTTTTCATCGATCCCTACCAAAAGACACCCTCTCCAGAGAAATGCAGTATTTATATACAGTCCATTGGAGCTCTAGGAAACACTAGAGTTATCAGTGAAGAATATATTAAATGAGCACTTGGGAGGCTGAGGCAGGAGGATCGCTGTGAGTTCAAGACCAGCCTGGGCTACATAGTGAGTTCCAGGTCAGTCTCAACAACAAAGTGAGACCCTGTCTCAAAAAAACAAACAAAAAACAAAACAAACAAACAAAGAATATATTAAATGAACCAAGGGCTACTGTGAAGCATTTTTCTATAGCCTGAGAGTAAAACTGCTAGGACCAGTTTCTGTTTCTGTAACCAGGTAGGTGTTCCTTTAGAGTCAAGGATAATACACAAAATCTACAAATTCATGCAGGGCATATCCTGAATTTCTTAAAAAAGAAACCTGAAGATGCCTTCTGTGTTGTGGGGATAACAGTGATTGATCTTTACCCAAGAGACTTGTGGAATGTTGTCTTTGGACAGGCCTCCCTGACAGATGGTGTGGGGATATTCAGCTTTGCCAGGTATGGCAGGGACTTGTATACCTCACGCTATGAAGGCAAAATGAAGAAGCTCCACAAAAAAATCTTCCAGTGACTATTCCATTTTTGTAACTATTATATTTCTGAAATCACTAGTGTTTTACTGCTGCAATCCTATAAAACTTTAACCCATGAGATTGGACATATATTTGAACTATGACAATGCCAATGGCTTGTATGCATAATGCAAGGCTCCAATCACTTAAAAGAATCTGGCAGGTGCCCTGTAAACCTTTGTCCTATGGAACCACTGAGGTAAATCCACAGCCCTTGACTTTGCTTTATCTTTTAGGTATCTGCGAGGCAGTTTTCTTTTGTTGTTTTCTTGTTTTTTTAATTTAAAGGAGGCAGTGTTCAAGTACTGCTGATGATACCTCCATACATGAGAATATTTGTTGCTTAGAACATCTAGTGTGTAACAACTGTGTGATGTTTGGCAAGGCCTTTTATTTCTTGCATCTCCTTCTTTATTGGGGACATATTTAGTAACTCGGACATGGAAAACACCAACATCCCACAAGCTCTATGTGATGGTTGGCTGTCACTTTGGCATACTCTTATGAATTCTTAGTACCTCTTACTCCATTAATCCCAGGAAGTTTACTTGAAAGATCACTGATCTGATTAGGTATGACTTTCAGCATCACAGCATCTGGTATGTGACCGAGAAAAAGGATAGCTACCCTTTCCTGCAGAAGGAATATATCAAATGGTAGAGATATTGGCCTTAAGGAGTCCTCAGGCAAGCCTTTGGGATGATGTAAGGAGGGTGTCTTGTTCAGAGTTTGGGAGAGGCTTCCTCAAGAGAACCAGCAGGGCATGGAGGGGTTGAAAGGAGAGCAGGGGTATGGGGGAAAAATGAGAACTAAAATCTGTCATGTAAGGGTACAAGATTCCAATGATGAATGTAACTGTACTGTATACTTAAAAAGTAGTCCTCAGGCAAGCCTTTGGGATGATGTAAGGAGGGTGTCTTGTTCAGAGTTTGGGAGAGGCTTCCTCAAGAGAACCAGCAGGGCATGGAGGGGTTGAAAGGAGAGCAGGGGTATGGGGGAAAAATGAGAACTAAAATCTGTCATGTAAGGGTACAAGATTCCAATGATGAATGTAACTGTACTGTATACTTAAAAAGTACCAATAAACATGACTGCTTATACAAGTTGCAGTGTGCTATTGGCTTCAGTGTTGTAGAAAGATGCACGACACCGGTGAGCTGGATTGACAAGGAATCCCCTGACACACCAAGGGCGGCTCCAAAGCATAGTCGCGAGAGCAATGTGAATTTGCCAAAACCTGTGGAAGCCTTAAAGAAATGGAAAGAGTGGATAATGAAATACCTTGCTGTTCTCCAAAAATTCAGTCTTCAGAGAGGAGTAATAAAATAAATACTTGCATGTCAAGAAAAAAAAACCTCCATAGCCTTATGAGAGTTGCTGCTCTGGTCTCTAGTGCAAGGACATTCCCTCTCAGGTTTCTCCTGAAATAAAGCTGTTCTGTTGAGTTTGTGCTTCTGTTTCTTTTCCTTTTTCTTCACAAAAATGGGTCTGTTGTGAGTTTTGGTTTTTTGATACAGATTCTTACTCTGTAATTCAGACCGGCTTTGAACTCACTATGTGGCTCAGGCTCAGGCTGGCCTCACATTCACAGAGATCTTTCTGCCTCAGTCTCCTGAGTGCCAGGATTATAGGTATGTGCCACCCTGCCCAGCTCAGATAAGTCTTCTTTCAGATGACCAGCTGCCTGGCCCAAGAGAAAACCCATGGTCAATCGGCCCTAGGAGCTGAGATGGTTCCAGCCCTCATGGGATGGGGTAAGATAAGGTTTGTAAATACAGGGTGAAAATTTAATAAAATGTCATAATGTGATGTTATATACATGGGTCCAGACATACTCCCTTTAGAATGAGGCAAGGTGGCACATTCTATAATCACAGCCCTTGGCAGGCTGAGGCAGGAGGAGTATCAGGACATTGAGGCCAGAAGGGTGAAATAGTGAGTTCGAGCCCAGGCTAAATTACACAGCGAGACCCTGTCTCAAAGAATGATAATTTTAAAAAGACATTCTTGGGCCAGGATTTTAGCTCAGTGGTTCTGCTGCCTGCCTAGCAAGCACAAGGTCCCGAGTTCAATCCCTAGTACCAAGAAAAAAAAAAAAAAAAGAAAGACATATTCTTAATGCTGGTGTGAGGGATGATTCAGCCAAAAGATTTTGAACAGAGGCTAAGCCCTGGGGCTAAGTGGAAAGCCATTGAAGGAGCCATTTGCCTGGCATGCATTTGAAAGGAAGTACTTTGAGAAGCCACTTAAGTCCCTCATTTCAAGGAGCTCTCTGGTACTTGTGAGGAGAGTGGAAGCTCCACTGAATGCCTTCTCAAGAGTCCCACCTTGTGTACTCTGAGAGGTAAAGGATGTGACTGGGTTACTAACAGTAATCTTGTAGCTCCAGAGAAGATAAGGAGTGCTCTGGTGAGGCCTGCTATCTAGGCCTCAGAATATGTGGATGCTTCTGTGACTTCGCTTTATCTTATAGGTATCTGTGAGGCACTCTTGATGGTGTTTTTTGGTTTTCTTGTTTTTTTTAATTTAAAGATGACAGTGTTTAAGTACTGTTGATATATCTGCATACATGAGAATATTTGTTGCCTAGTGCATCTAGTGCTGAAACAACTGTGTGATGTTTGGCAAGACATTTTGTTTCTTGCATCCCCTCCTTTATTAGGGAAATACTAATTTGGGATAGAAAGCACCAACATTCCAACAAACTCCAGCACATATGATGGTTGGCTATCACCTTGGCATACTCTTAAGAACTCCCAATGAGACATCATTTTAAGTGCAAGGCTAAAACTGACTGGAAAAAGGGGCATGAAAAGTCCTGGAATATCATTGGCAGGGCAGTTCCTAAAGCCAGGCATGTGGACTTCTTAAGAAAACTTGAGCAGGCTTTTGATCTGATGGCCTAGACCTGACATTAGTCTGAGGAGTAGGTGACACAAAAAGGACAATTGACCCTGAGTTGTCAGCACAATGTTCTCACTCACATGATTGGCCCACCCTCAAGCTGTAGGGTGTATTTCTGTTCCTACTCTTACTTGGCCTAAACTCACTCTACAGAGCCATTTCTTTTCCTGCCTTTAATCCATTTTTGCTTGTCTTGACCAATTTTTTGCTCAGGACAGAAGGAAACCACCTCCAGAGTAAGACTACAGCATCCCAAACCAGGTAGCACTGCCAGTATAAATCAAGCTAAAAGTTTTAAAAAGCAGGCCGGGCGTGGTGGCGCTCACCTGTAATCCCAGCACTCGGGAGGCTGAGGCAGGAGGATCGCTATGAGTTCGAGACCAGCCTGGGCTACATAGTGAGTTCCAGGTCAGTCTCACCTATATAGTGAGACCCTGTCTCAAACCGCCCTGCCAAAAAAAAAGTTTTAAAAAGCATACTCCCAATAACAAAAGTAATAACCAAAAGATAACACGACAAAAGCAAATTTACTTGATGAGATTAAAAAGCAAAAACCAGCAGGTATTCATCCCTTACTCCCTTGATAGTGTATAATTTTGGACCAAGAGGGGCAACTTCTTGCATAGGAATCCTTGAAGCAACTGCTAGACATCATGAATGATCCAGAAACTCTTAGAGGCATGAAAATGGCTACCAAAGCCTTTTACCACGAAGAATTTTTTAAAAGCAGTAACTGCAATGCCTATAAATTTTAATTTATAATTTACTTTTAAAATAAGAAATATTTTGCCACCAGAACTCAAAAAGTACTAAAAGTATTTGACCACATATGTATTCAGTCAACATATTGGATGAAAGTCTTTGGAAGATGATTCATTTAATATAACATATGTGTTCCTGGAGAAAAGTAGATATCATCAAGATCTTATCTGCTAGAATTGTGTGTGATGACAAAGCTGCTGACTGACTACCCTCATGAGTTTCTGAGAAAGGATATCTTGTCTCTTTAGACCTGGATGCAATTGTAGGTGAAAGACTCTTAAAGCAGGCATTTGAACACAGTGTAGTGAAATACATAAAAGCAAATGTCTGATGGTTGTCCATTGAACAGCATGAGTAATTTTAATCATGTTGGATATTGGGTAAGTGTGCTAGAGATGAAGAGAGGAGAGAGACCACCTAGGCAGTCTTTGTGTGTACAATGAGGTTTTTTTCTCTCAGAAATGAGCAAGCTGAGTGCAAAAGGGTAGTCAGCAGCCCTTGAGGAGAAAATGAAGGGTTTAAAGGGGAGGGGAGGTGTTGCTACCTTTAGCAATTTGGAAGCAGAGAGAATGAGGTCATGCTTCTCAGAATTGGTGGTTAGATGTTATCTAGCTCCCTGGACCTGAGCAGTTGTGACATGGTATCTTTGTTCTTCTTTGAGGTTTCCTGCACATCTAACATGGAGATTCAATGGCTCCCAACCACTCTGGGCACTGCACTCCCACCCATGCTCAGTGCTATGCTCCAGCTCTTGCAGCTGCCATGGAGATGGACCTTCCCCACTGGTCATGACAGTAAGGAGGCATTCATGGATAAGAGCACAGCTTTAACACTGTAGTAAACCATCATGAAGTGCTTGTTATTTAATCTACCTATTTATTTCCAATTGAATAACTAACAGCATAATTCTGTTAAATGGAGTAGCAGAACAAAGAGAAACAAATCTGGAGCCAAGTGGGGCTCTTCATTCTGATGGGAGAAAAAGACAACCAGGTAACTGCAGTGAATTTATTTATAGTGGTAGAGATAAGGGAACTGCAGGGGGAGGTAAAAGGGGCTGGTCTGTAGCCAGAGTCAGGACAGTAACTAAGGTCTGCATAACATCATGCTTTGATGTTTTGTTGTTGTCATTGTTCCAGGGTTTGAACTCAGGACCTTGCACTTGTGAGGCAGGTGCTGGCACCACTGAGCTAAATCCCTGGCCATATACTTATATGTTTTTATGGGGAATGGATCGTGAGGAAGACATCTTTTGTTTCTCTTTTCTTTGTTTTTTCTTAATCCCCCACAACCATGATTCTCACTCATGGATCCTTCAGCCACGCTGGCCATGGCAATTGGTGCCTGAAACAGACAGTATGAGAATAAGAGAGGAAAACAGTCCAGAGTAAAAGAGAAGTTCAAAATACAGGTAAGGGGATGCTTCAAGTTAGGGACTAAGTTAGGGACAAGGTGGATTAGAAATCCACCAGGTATAAAACATGGGATAATCAGGATCCCGCAAGCAACATTTGTATATAGCAATGCTCAAAGCACTTTTAAAGGCTAGAGGGTCAGATATTAAGATATCCTGATTAGAAAAGTCTTTTAATTTGTTTCAACAAACATATGCTTGGGGCCAGGGATGTAGCTCAGTGACACCTTGCCTGCCTGCCTTTTAAACACAGAATCCTGAGCTTAATCCCCTGATTGTCTGCTTTTGTTACCTCACACCACCCGCAGGAGTGGGACTTGGAAAACAAAGGAATGCATAATTCTCCCCTGTCTCTGCCTATTTATATATCAACAGCTTGTGTTGTAGGCTAAACTAACAAGAATTTTCTACACAAATATTGGAAAACAAAATATAAGGGTTTAAAACAATTAAAACAAAATGTACTGGTGGAGATTTGAAGCTCAAAGACCAAATACTAAGCCACTGCCCAAGGCCTGCTACAGTCTTCTTGCTCTATGTTAAAATCAACCACAATGTTCTGCTGGGCAGGGGAAACTTAAAAACAAACAAACAATATCAAATTATAAATTCTGGCTAATTGACAAATGTACCTTGCATCTCCAACTTAAAGTAATGTTTAATTGGTGTTTAGTTTCCAGATGTTTAATTGGTGTATTTAAAGCATTTCTTCTACATTGCAAATTCTTGAATTGTACTTATAGGATTAACTTGCACTTTTTTCTACTTTCTATTTACAGACTTATGACAATAACTATAACACAAGATTATGCTACTTTCTATTAATAGCTTGTTATAAAAGATTGCACTTACAGGTATAAAGTACTTTTATTTCTTCTGATTCTAATTGCAAGAGATCTCTGCTACTTGACCTGCAAGTTTTGACTAGTCTTATTTACAAGGGATATTATAATTCAAATTGGCCAAATATATTTGAGTGCATTCCAGTTTCATAAATTGTCTATGTTTCTTTATTTGTCCAATTAAGCCCAACAACAATATTTTTTCCCTTTTTGCCCTTAAATTTTTTTTCTTAAAAGATATTTGCCTATAATTTAAATTGGCTTAAGGTAAACATTATTAAAGTTAAAGGCATGTCTTCCTTTTCCCCCACGTTGCTCGCTGATCAAAATGACATAAAAGATTAATTTTGATTGTAATGCATATTGCTGTGTACTTCAGTAAATCAAAAATTGTTTTTATTGGTTACAAATAATGTGTTAATTGTTACAGTATGGTTTTTTAAAGGTTACATACAAAAAATTGTCAAGGTAATTAAATGGAGACTTTTAGATTTAGGGAGATGGCTGGATGGGACTCACCTTGATGAATAAAGAACCAGCTGCCCAGAAAACAGTTATTGTGGTCTTTGTTCACTAATGGGAGCCCCAGTGTTTTATAGCCTTATGGGAAGACAACTTTCTGAAAATTGCTTAAATATATCACAGTAAATGTGTTGTTTACCGTCAAAGAGTTAAGTTCTAAACATGTTTTTGTGATATGTTTATATTGGCCATCTTCAAAAGATAAAATTTTCCATAGGAAGAACAAGCTGTTATTAAAAGGATGCTTATGGGCCAGGGATTTAGCTCAGTGGTTCTGCCGCCTGCCTTGCAAACACAAGGACCCGAGTTCAATCCCTGCTACCAAAAAAAAAAAAAAAAAA